TGCTTCTCAGCCCTGCTCTTGCTAAATAGTCTGGCTCACACGAGGTGGGAGAGCTGCCTCCCCACCAGGCCCACCTGGTCCCTGCACCTGGCAAGAGCTCTCCCTAGGGGTAATGAGGGGAGGGGAGCCCAGGACCAGAGAAGAAGTTCATGTCCCAAGATAAAGTCCTGCCCTGCCTCTGGATGTTCCGTCCAGCTTCTGGTTAATTCTCTGCCACTCAAGGCCGGGTTCAAGGAACCCTCACCGGGTGAGGCCAGGCCCTGTTCTTTGGAGATCCGCCTCCAAGATTTAATCCACCCCACGCAGAAAGGGTAAACGTCACTGTTACTTGATGGAAAGCTCGAGACTGCGCTAAGCCACGCCTGCCCTTGCCTGCAAACAGATTCCACCCGATATATATTAAGGCAAGGAGGCAATGGAAAGCTGCTGTGGTTCCTGGCTCACAGGCCCTCGCTCCCTGGCTCACAGCATAGCTGGAAGCTCACCTAAAAGAGAAATTAGAAAGCTGCTTTTGTTGCTAACTTTCAAGGTGGTCTGAGAATTGACATGTCAGCTGCTGAAAGGCCACATCTCATTTTCCAAAGGATTCCTTCCTTCCAGAAGGGAGATAATCAAACAGGTAAGTGACACACTGTGCTCTCCCACCGGGCCACCGTGGGACAAAAGGAAGTGATTTTAATTTGAATTAAACAAACAAAAAAAGTCTCACCAACACTTTTCCTCATTAATCAACCCTTAGCCAGGCAAGGCTGCTTACTCCCAGCACCTTCTGGCACCCCCCGGCCCCACATGCTAGGCTTTCCAAAGTGTCACCAAGCCCACCACCCATACGCCCAATCCCGGCTGGCCCCAAAGAGACTCTGACTCACTTCTAGTATATGGTGGCCTCCCCTTACTCCACTCAAGCCAATTGTTCTCAGAATTTCCCTTTGTAGTTTTTTTCCATGCGAGGCAGCTGCTGCTCCCAGCTGCTTGCTGCCCTCAGCGGATGGTGTCCTCTACCCCTTTTGTGAATTTCAGGCTACACCCAAGAATCACCACCTCCCGAAAGCACCCAGACTGGCTTGTCCTTTTCACCCCCCTCTGCATGTCCCGGCACATGGGTTTTGCCCAGGAGCTCCCTCCCTGCTCCTCGGAGATGCCCATGGCCCAGCCAGCCTCTCCGGACAGGTCCTGTCACCTTTTCCCGAGGGGGCCTGGGAGATGGGCCCCTGAGTAATAGACCACGGAGCTTCCTGCCTAGGAGTGTTGGATGTGAGCACAGGGGCTCCTTTTCCAAACTTAAAGGAGCTTACCCAACATCCAGGCTGACGATCCCCAGGACAGGTCAGGTGGACTGGGCTGACATAACGCATGCGGAGCTCTCTCAAACCCTGAAGGCTCGCTTTCACACTGTAGCGCTTGCCATGGACCGATAAACACGACAAAACTTCAAATTTTTTTCTGAAAACTACAATTACTAGAAAATTAGACCACGCGCTGTGCCTAGATCTTTTGATTCGACACAACGCCTAGCTTAATGGGTACAATAAAACGCCTCAACGCCTCACTTCTCTTATCCAATGATGAACCAGGTAACAAATGCATTCGGCAGGTAATGGGGCACGGATCAACTTCAGGCATTGATGCGCGTGGTTCCGGCAGGAAGGATTTCCTGTCGACTCCACCCTTTCTGAGAGAATACAGGGTTTCTGGCCCTTCATGCCCATCTGAGGTGGGTCCAAGCACGTGAGCTGTTCTACTGACTGGGCGGAGCACAGCCCACTTGGTGGGGGGGAGCCGTCACACCCGCTCACAACCTCCTCACTGTTGGCAGGCTTTTGCCCGCTGGGGCTCGAATTGACTCTCCTCCTCTCACCCAGATGTTACCCTGCCAGCTTCAAGCAGAATGCCCCTTCCTGGGCCGCCTCCCCGGAGGAATGCTAGTGGGTCTCCTCGGGGCCTGCCTCACCCTCCTGGGTGGCTTGCTTGACTACTTCCAGTACAGTGTCATGGGGTATTTGTCTCCCTTGGTGCACGCCCCGCTGCCCTCCGGATGTAACCCGGCATTCTCACAGCGGTAGCTGCCCACGGTGTTGATGGGCGACAGTGTCTCGTTGCTGGTGGCACACTGCCGATATCTGGGTTTGGACCAAAGGCAGAGAAGGCTCCGCTTCAGAGAACTCTCTTCCAACGACAGGGGGACGTTGGGCTTGGCCTTCCTGTGAACGTCTGCAGGGGACCCTTTGCCAGCCTCCCTCCGAGAATGCTGGAATGAAGCAGGACTAGGAAACAGATATCTCAGGGAGTGCCTCAGGCAGGGTCACCATGGTGACAAGCCGATCGGTAATGGGGATCCATTGTGGCCCTGCCACCACCAAATCATGTGACCTGGTTCCCCGCCCCCCCCCCCCCCCCCCCCACCAAGCCTAGCCTTCAAAATTCCCACCTACAAAACACGAACGATGCCTGCCCGAAATACTTCACCGGGCAAATCAGGAGAGAAAATGAGATGATGGAGACATGAATTTCTACAAGGACCCAGGTGTGCCGAGGGCTTTTACGTTCCCCTTTACGGCTCCGGGTTCTGAGCAGCAGGATGGTGACCCAAGGTCAAGTTTGGGTCAATGGCTCCTTCCCAGTTAAGAGATGTAATGAAACCGGAGAAGAAAAGCCACTTCGGGTGAAAGAAAATAGTCACGATGGGTCTAACGGAGAGAATTTTCCCCAGGAAATTTCGGTGTCATCAATGACCCAGACAGACCGCCCGTGAGCTGCGGAAACGAGCCATGAGCCCATCAAACAAGCCCTTCTCTGCCCTTGACCTAAGCGTGAAGCTGCCTCTACTGTCCAGGGGAGGGACGGCAAGGTTGAAAGGAGAGAAACAGATGGAATTCTGAGCAGAATGCTCTTTTGCTGACCCCCATATGGGAAGCACAGGGTACCGTGGCTATCAGAAACTCAAAGAAGAGCCCTCGCGCCTGGGACCGCGGAAGGACAGAATGGCACATCGCACTCTCTGTAAGAGGCACCAGTGGTCCCGGCTGCACTCACTTGGTGGTCTCCATCCTCCTCTTTGTCAGCGTGGGGTGCCACTGGGGACAAGCCAGGAGGCTACTGTCTACAGCATCTCTTAAATGGTACTTGCTAGAGTCCCCGCTGGGGCAGAGGAGGAGGGGCCACTCATCACAGTTCATTTATTCTCCACTTGGGACCGTCTGCCTGCCTCCTCAGTTCATCCTCCAGCTGATTCTCGGACTTGATGTGCACGTGAGTCACTCGAGGCATTTGTGTAAAATGCAGAATCCGGCCCCGCCCCTCAGGCTCTGGAGGCGAGGCCAGGATCGTTGTTTTTTGCAAAAGCAAGAACCCCAGATGTTTCCGAGACAGGTTAGCCACAGGCTGACCGCACTCTGAAACACGTGGCTTCAGGGAACAATTCCCATCAACCTGTCTCCGGGACTTGCAAAGTGCGCGGCTGGAAAGCCAAGCCAATGGGGGAAGGAGCCCGCTGGTGGCGAGGGGTGGCGCTGAGTCCTCTCAGCTGGGCTCCAGGTGGCTGGCTTCAGCTCCCTCGGACTCACTTCAACCTGCCTGCCACATGGTCTCTTCCTGGCTCCCAGCCCTCTCTTCCTAGTCTTCCGAGAGAACGTGGATTCTTACCTGTCTGTGCTTTTAACATTTCTGGCCGCTTACACTCTGTGTGACATCGCTCTGCTTTTCATTTGACGATGGTCCCCTTCTCCTGCTCTCATGTCTCACCGCCTGTTAGGACCTGACTGGTACTGGCTCCCTGAAGAATTCCTTGGCCGTAGTTGGTTTAAACAACCACAATGAGGGGCGCCTGGGTGGCTCAGTCGGTTAAGCGTCCGACTTCGGCTCAGGTCATGCTCTCGCGGTCCGTGAGTTCGAGCCCCGCGTCGGGCTCCGTGCCGACAGCTCAGAGCCTGGAGCCTGTTTCAGATTCTGTGTCTCCCTCTCTTTCCTCCCCTGCTCATGCTCTCTCTCCCTTCTCAAAAATAAATAAATAAATAAACATTTAAAAAAAATGAAAAAAAACCACCACAACGAAAGCCAGTGCCCGCTAGCTTTGGTACTAACACAGCTCCATCTGGGTATCGGGACACAAGGGAAGAAACAACGATCAAAGCGGCTCCTGGGGGCTGGTCCCACCCACGAAGAGTGTCCAGCAGAGGACAGAATCATCCCCCCAGGAGCTGGAAGATAACGTGAGGTGGCAACGCACCCAGGCAGTACGGCTTCTCCCGCTTCCGGTGTCTCTCCCGGTCGTACCGGTATCCCGGGTAACAGGTACACAGCACTCGGCCAAAGTTATCCGTGCACTGCTGTTCACAGGGAGCCTCGGCACACACATCGTAATCTGAAACAGACAAGCGTGAGCGCACATCAGCCTCAGTCATTCAGCAGCTGGGGGCGGGGCCACCGCGCCCGGGGTCTGGAGCAGACCTTCCGGGCTGCATTCCGCTCGGGACCTGGGAAGCGTGGCCAGCCGTGTGTGGGTGGGCACGAACTCTTTGTGTAGCACAACAGGTAACTTAGTGCTCAGCATGGCCACTTAAATGCCGACGTCACCTGTGATCCTCCCCCGGGTCACCTCTTCGCCCTCTGGTGTCTGTCCCTCATCTAGAGAGCAAAGACGTTCTAGACGGCCGGGCCCCCGCGGCATTACCTGGGGGCCTGTTTTGTCTCTTTCGCCAGCTGCGGTGGAGACAGGGGATTCCTTCCGGATGCACACTAAAAGAAAGGCCGGGCCTGGTGAGGGGCGTGGGCATCACAGTGTGAGGAGGGCAGGGGCTGGCAGTCAGGCAGGGGCAGGAGGAGTGTGAGTGGGGCTTGGGAACAGAGACGGTGTGGGCACTGCAGAGCTGGGCCCCCCAGTGTGTTGTAGCCGTGTGTGCCCAGGACGGACCCCACGTGCCGAGAAGGGGCTGGGTGGGGTCGAGTGGCTGGAGATCTCCGAGCAAACTGGCGTGGATGCCCTCCTAACTTGAAAAGAATTAAAGCATCTCTTCCGCGCAGTCCTTACAAACGTATTTAACGAGCCTCTGAAGGGACTCCGGCTGGGAGTCGGGCGCTCAGGCTGCATTTTTACCTCCAGACTAGATCCAGCATCTCAATCACTGCACTCTCTTCCCCGGGGGCTGACATAGATAAACGATATTTGGATGCGGAGTAAGCCTGGCTTTGCTCGCCCGCCACACAGGAAGGCGGGATGGGTGGGTCTGTCAGCCCGATGTTTTGTGCTCTGCCTTGTTTGCTGAATGCCTACACCCTGTAGCAGGCCCCACTGTAGGGGCCATGCAGCCTCGTGGTGGAGGGTCCAGGTTCTGGAGCCAGCCCCCCCAGCTCGGCTACTGTCTCTGTGACCTCGGGTCCTTTAAGCCTCAAGTCGCTTACCTGTAAAAGAGGAGTAACAAGAATACCGACTTCAGGGTGCTTTTCTGAAGGTAAACCCGGATGACGCATGAAGCACCGTGCCTGACCCACAGCAAAAGCTTCACCCTGTTCTTCTGCTTCCTTTATGGCTTCGCTCTGACGATTGTTTGGGTGTCTGGCAAGGACTGTGTCCCCTAGAGTAACTGGCACTACTCTCTTCCTACAGTTTATGCTCGATTAATAACTGTTGGACTAGAACAAATGAGATTACTCGATCACTCTGGCCAATCAAAATAACACAGCAGGGCGTAGCAAAGCACATCTGGTTGGCCAGCATTCCTCAACTCTGCTGTGGTAGGGCAGAAGCGGCCATAAATACTCAAGTGCGTGAGTGTGGTTGTGTTTCAATAAAACTTTATGTACAAAAATAAGCAGTGGGTCAGATTTGGCCCACAGGTTGTTGACTTTTGACTTAGAGCAACAAATAGGAGACAACTTTTAAATTGCAGCTTCTACTCAGCAGGTTTGGTTAAACATTCTAGTCTCTTTACCACCTGTGATGGCTCATTTTCTGTGTCAAATGTGGGTAGGCCACAGTACCCAGATATTTGGTCAAACACACTCTAAATGTTTCCGTGCAGATGTTTTTTTTTGTTTTGTTTTTTTTTGTTAATAGATGGGATTGACATTTAAATCAGTAGACTCTGAATAAGGCAGATTGCCCTCCAAAAGGTGGATGGGCCCATTCAATCAGTTCACGGCCTTACTAGAAAAAAAGACTTCCCCCACGGAAGAGGGAATTTTGGTGGCAGATGGCCTTCTGATTCAAACTGTAACTTTCTGCTGGGTCTCCGGTCGACCCTACGGACATTTGATTTGCCAGCCTCCAAGTAAATCCTTAAAATGAACCTGTTTCTCTGAAGAATCCTAACTGATACACGTATCTTTTCTGAAGTTCTACATTTATACTTTGCATTCTTGGTGACAGAAACCTTGATGACTCAAAAGATCTTTAGTAAGACAGACAGACAGACAGACACACACACACACACAGACGTATTCCCACAGATTAAAACGCTTAAATGTTCTAGTGAAAGCAATAGAACAGAGTGTTATTATGGTGAGGCTACGTTAATCACAGGTGTCACAGACTCACTTGAGGGTGAGGGGCGCTGCTTGTAGGCTCTGACGTTTGAAACCACAAGACCTAACATTTAAAGAAGATCTAAGTATGTGGTGCCCACGTAACCTGCTTTTAATCAGGTTGGGCAAGGTCTTTAGCTGAGATCTTAAAGTGATGGGTCCAAACTTAATTTTCTCAGTATCTGCCCAATTGCAATATAAAGGACACAGCTGGGGACTGGGACAAGCTGGCTGATACAAGAATGCAGTTATTTGGACCTTTGTTGTTGTTGCTTTCCACCACGCTCTAACCCACAGAATTGGCTGGCAGTGAGACAAGTCTGTCTCGGGAAGACCCAAGGCCACATACACCATCGTTATGTTAAGTGACTTCCTAACCACTCTTCCTCAAGCAGCTTTCTCCCCAGCTATGGTTTAGTGAATTCTTCCACCCTTTCTCCGAAGAGAGCAATACACGGGAGAGATTCATTTATTTCTGACAAAGAGCCTGTTCTCTAGGAGATAATGCAGCATGAATTGGCTCGGCTGGGCTTCTGGTCTTCCAGAAGCCCTCTTCCAGAGATCTGGCTTCTTGGGTGACGGTGAAGAAACCTCTTTCTCATTACCCTCCCACCTCTCCCCAGCCCCAGGCACACTAATCTCGCGCTCTCCAGACAGGGCTTAGTGTTTCCTGGATCAGCGCGGGAATCCTTTGCAGCTCTCTTCCTCCTATTTGTGTAGGCCCCGGGGGAAGCCTTCCTTGGTAAGCCGGCTCCCCCTCCTTCTGGAGACCACCTCGAACTGCTCTGGTTCTCTGTGCTGTGTGCCTGCTCCAACCACTTGCAGCCCCGAATGCCTCGACCGCACATATTACAGTTATTATTAAACACAACAGCAGCAACCACTATTTATCAAGCACTTAATGAGAGCCAGCCTCCGTTCCAAGTACTTAACATGTGGTAATATTCTTAAAACAACCGTGAGCCAAGTACAAATACTTTCCCACAAAAACTAAGGTAGGATTTGTATTGTGGACTGAACGTTTGCGTCCTCTTGACATTCGTATGTTGAAATCTTAACCTCCAAGGTGACGCTATTGGGAGGTGGGGGCCTTCGGGAGGTGCTTAGATCATGAGGGTAGAGCCCTCACCAATGGGATTGATGCTTTTATAAAAGAACCCCCAGGAATCTCCCTTGCCCCTTCTGCCGCGTAAGGACACAGCAAGGAGATGGCAGTCAATGAACGAGGAAGCTCTCACCCGACGTGGAGTTTTCCAGCACCTTGGTCTTTGGCTTAGCCTCCAGAACTAAGAGATGAGCGTTTGCTGTGTAAGGCACCAGACTATGGTATTTTTGTTACAGCAGCCAGAATGGGCTAAGGCAATACGGAAACTGGAATTAGAATTCAGGTCTGACTCCATGCAATCTATACCCCATCTCACCAGCTTGAGGGTGGGTATGCCCTGAGAGCCGGGCACCTGCTGCTCCCACTGCTCTACGCCTTTAGTGCTGGGCTGAGCAGAGTGTTTGGAGGGGCTTTGAGTTCAGCATGTGAAAAACACAGAGGTCAGGAGGACGTGTGTGCTCTGTGTATGAAATGCTGATGACGGGATGATAGCCTCTTCAGCTTAAAAAAACCTGAAATATGAGAATTACTCAATATAGGTGTACCTGTCGGGTAATGATGTAGCTGGAGCGTGCTACATGTACTAGAAGAATCCAATGCCAGAAGAAAACTGAAATCACACGCAGGTAATCCACGTACATTCTACGTACATCGGAACTCTACAGACACCTAGCGATTAGTCACAAACAAGGTGAGAAGACATAATCTTTTACATTACGTACCTTCTGGGATGCATTGTCCAAGAACAAATTTATACCCTTTGCAGCATTTTTTCCTAAGAAACAAACAAAAGTGTGTTTTAAATGTGACGTCAGGTTAAGGATATAATTCTTTTCAGGGGTGCCTGGGTGGCTCAGTCAGTTAAGCATCTGACTTGATTCTGGCTCAGGTCATGATCTCATGGTTTGTGAGATGGAGCCCCACGTTGGGCTCTGGGCTGACGGTGCAGAGCCTGCTTGGGATTCTCTCTCCCTCTCTCTCTCTCTCTCTCTCTCTCTCTCTCTCTCTCTCTCTCTCTCTCTCTCTCTCTTGCTCTCTGCCCCTCCCCCACTCACACGCATGCTTGCTCTCTCAAATAAACTTAAAATATATGTATAATATATAATTCTTTTCAGTTAGTGGTTTGTGCCCAGGAAAAAGTGAGGTATAAGGGAAGGAAGGGGTTGGGTTTTTTTTTTTTTTAATGTTTATTTATTTTTGAGAGAGAAAGAGAGAGACAGAGACAGAGCTCGAGAGGGAAGGGCCAGAGAGAAAGGGAGACGCAGCAGGCTCCAGGCTCTGAGCTGTCAGCACGGAGCCGGATGCGGGGCTCGAACCCATGGACCACGAGATCATGAGCCAAGCCGAAGTTGGACGCTCAACAGACGGAGCCACCCAGGCGCCCCTAGGGGTTGGGTATTTTTAAGGAAAGCTGAGATAGAGATATAAAGGGAAAATATAATCAACAGCACATGACCACATGTTCCAGCAGCAGAAGGTCCTTTTTTACCACATAATACATGGAATTAATCACTTGAATTCTATGAAGTGGATTAATTCAGAGACTTCAAGCTACTTGTAGCAGATGACCAGAGGCCTACAGGATATAAAGAACTTTTACATAAAGGATATAAAGAAACTTTGTATCCTGAAAAGGAACTCTGGGGCTGGCCAGGCCCCTCAGGCTACAAGCCAAGGATTCACGTGACTTGCTAATTATAACAATTTGCTAATAATAAATAACTAGGTAATTGTAACCTAATGATTGCAAATTATAATTAGGTAGCTGAGGCTGAAGCCCAAGTGGTCCCCCATTTGAAGGCTGGCTTCACCTGGACCACATAGGTACTAAAAGCTATCTAAATTATCTGAATTAAACAGACAAACAAACAGCAAATAGGCAATTCTAGCAAAAGTTTCCAAGACGTCCATCTCTGCCTGAGGTAGAGAAATGGCACCATTAGTTCAAAATGTAAATCTCCACGGGAAAGATGAGGTCTCTGGTCTGGGGTTTCAAGCTCTTAACAGACTGACCCCCTGAAGATAGAGAATATAAACTCAGGACAAAAGAGAAGCAAACAACCCCTGGCAGGTTCTGGAGAGCAAAGAAAGGCGGGCAGGATTTAAGAGGAGAGCTGACATTTGGAACGAGGGACTAACCCAGTCTAACTTTCCTGCTTTTCAGGACTTTGGCCCGAGAGCCCATCACAGTTGCTACGTGGTGGGGAAAGTGAACACACAGAGAACCTGTGACAGGTTTCGGCCCGATCAAATGGAGGGCAAAACAGGGGTAACCAGAGGTGTGAAAAATTCAGGGGAAATCCTGGAAATGGGGGTGCTGGAGGACAGGAGCCTTAAGTTCTGTGTATTAAGTCTGCCCAGTCGCCGGGAAACCCTCACCCAGGCATGCGGGGAGAAGACTCAAAACACCCCAGCTAAACGCCACACGGGCTGGACGAGGGTTGGGCTGACCAACACCGACTGCGAGGCCGTTTGCACATTCCATCCATCCAAGTTGCTTGCCTGCTCCAAGAAAAGTATCAACGCTTTTTGGATGAATAAAGCAGGATCCAGGATCTCCGCAACAGAACTTGTATAAATGTGACCGATTCTCAAGGGAAAGACCATCAATGATGCCACCCCCAATTCCAGAGGTCGCAAGTATCAGACACCGCGTTAAAGCGGCTGTTACGATGGTGTTCGATGAGGTAAGGGAAAAGGCACTTGTAGTAAATGAAAAGGTAGATCTGAAAGAAATAGCAAATGTGAAAAGAACGAAATAGAAATTCAAGAACTGAATGGGGCGCCTGGGTGGCTCAGTCGGTTGAGCTTCCGACTGCGGCTCAGGTCAAGATCTCACGGTCCGTGAGTTCGAGCCCCACATCGGGCTCTGTGCTGACACCTCAGAGCCTGGAGCCTGTTTCAGATTCTGGGTCTCCCTCTCTCTCTGCCCCTCCCCCACTCATGCTCTGTCTCTGTCTCAAAAATAAACGTTAAAAAAATTAAAAAAAAAAGAAATTCAAGAACTGGAAAATATATGTATCAAATTAAAAAAAAAAACTTGCTGGATGGGTTTAACAACAGAATGGTGATATGAAGTGGGAAAGAATTAGCGAATTGGAAGATACATGCACAGGAATTACCCAACTTAAAGAGAAAAAGTGACTTTAAAAAATGCACCAAAACATCGAGGACTTGGGGGGAGGCGGGGGGGGACAACCTCAAAAGGTCCAAGGTATGGTATGTGGAGTTCCAGAAGGCAAACAGAGAGAGAATGGAGAAGAAAACAAATGTGAAAATGGCTGAAACATCCCGAATTTCGTGAAAAACATGAATTTACACACTAAAGATGTTTAGCAAAAGCCAAACAGGTTGAAGACACACACCCATGCACGCGTACGTCTAGAGATGTCATAGTCCTACTGCTGAAAAAAAAACCAAAAAAACAAACAAACGAAAAAGAGAAAATCTTGAAAGCCAGCGGTGAAAAACTGCACATTCTATACCAGGAAAGAACGATCTGAACGTCCATGCGCTTCTCATCAAATACCATGGCAACCACAAACAATGGCATGACATCTTTGAAGTGCTGACAAAACAAACCGACCTGTCAATCCAGAATCCTCTATGCAGTGAAAAATATCCTTCGAGAATGAAGAGGAAATCAAGATGTTTCAGAAAAAAGAAAACCAAGCATTCAACACCAGCAGATCTGGGCTATGAGAAATGCTACAGGGAGTTGTTCAGAATAAAAACACAGGGACCAGGGAGAAAAACCTGAATTTTTAGGAAGGGCCGAAATGCC